GATTTGGAATTTATTAATCCAAATAAATATATCAATGCACCATATATCATGGAGGGGATAAAAAAATCTAGAGAAATGGAAAGACATTATAATTAGACCTGCAGATAAGGGGGGGGGGGGGGGGTTGTTCTAGATAAAGTGGTCTACATGCAACAGTTGAAAACTATGTTGAATGGTGATAAAGTATATACATTTTTTTTGAAAGATCCTACACATAGGTATAGGGATGAATTCAAATCACTAATAAAGTGGGGTTATCAGAATCATGTTTTAAATAAGAGAGAGAGAAAGTATTTGCTACCTAGTTGTTGCAGATTACCTGTGATATACACTTTTTCCTAAAATACATAAGGATATAACCTGCCCTCCAGCCAGGCTCATAGTCAATGGCATAGGGTCTCTGTCAGCAAGATTAGGAAAATATTTAGACTTATTTTTGCAAACCAGTGTTGTACAAACCAAGGCATACCTAAATGATACTAAAGATTTATTAATCTTATTGCAATGTGTTCAAAGTGACATAAACCAACAGACGTATATGGTAACAGCTGATGTATCATCACTATATACCATTATAAGTCATGATGATGCTATGTTGGCACTTGATTGGGCTGTCAGCCAAATGGAGGATCTCCCTCATATTCAAAAAGTCTTTTTGAGGAAAGCCTTGGATTTTTGTTTAAAACACAAATACTTTTGGTTTGATAATAGACATTATGAACAGCTGAGTGGCGTGGCTATGGGAATTTGCGCCCACCTTAGCATATATATTCATGGCAGAATGGGAGGGCAGGTTTGTTTTTTTTATAAACGCAGGCCTGAATTGATCTTCTATAAAAAATTCATTGATGACCTGTTGTTCATCTGGAAAGGATCAGAAGTAAAATTACATCAATTTATGACACATCTAAATAATAATAATAATCATATTAAATTAGAATATCAATTCAGCTCTGAATCTATTCATTTTTTAGACGTTACTATTATTAGAAGGGGTAATGGATTTGCCACAAAGGTTTATTTTAAACCTACTGATAGAAACAGTTATCTTTCTATTAGGAGTGGACATCACCCTACCTTTTTAAAAAAATTACCTAGAGGTCAATATGAGAATTAGGAGGAATTGTTCAGATGAAAGTGACTATATTTCACAGGTTAACCGCTTGCCGCCCTGCCACTGTGTATATACGTGTGCAGGGCGGCAGTGGAGCGCAAAAGCATGTTTTAAAAAACGTGCTCCGCGCTCCCGAAACATTCGCAGGTAGGGGGCGCGTGCGCGCGCTCCCGCCGACCCGCGGGTGACACGATTCGATCCAGGAGGGATCAATCATTAGATCAGATTTCAGCCAGTGATTTCTGGCTGAAATCACATGATCGGGTCCCTGTCCTATCCTGTCCTGTGTTGACATTTACACAGGGCAGGATATGATGTCATTCTTCTCTGCCTGGACACATTCCGTTCCAGACAGAGAAGAAGACATCCAAAGAGTGAGTAAAACACTACACACTGACAGTTAGAACACTCTAGGTCACATTTAACCCCCTGATCGCCTCCCCCCCCAGTTAACCCCTTCACTGCCCTGTCACCAGTGTCCCTGATCAGTGAACCAATTTTTACTGATCACTGTATCAGTGTCGCTGGCGACTTCCGATAGTGTTAGCGCCCCTCCCAGATAGCGCCAGATTGCCCGCCAGTACACCAGTAATCCCGTTTAAACCCCTTGATCGCCCCCCCCCCCAGTTAACCCCTTCACTGCCCTGTCACCAGTGTCACTGATCAGTGAACCAATTTTTACTGATCACTGTATCAGTGTCGCTGGTGACTTCCAATAGTGTTAGCGCCCCTCCCAGATAGCGCCAGATTGCCCACTAGTACACCAGTAATCCCATTTAACCCCTTAATCTCCCCCCCCCCAGTTAACCCCTTCACTGCCCTGTCACCAGTGTCACTGATCAGTGAACCAATTTTTACTGATCACTGTATCAGTGTCGCTGGCGACTTCCGATAGTGTTAGTGCACCTCCCAGATAGCGCCAGATTGCCCGCCAGTACACCAGTAATCCCGTCTAACCCCTTGATCGCCCCCCCCAGTTAACCCCTTCACTGCCCTGTCACCAGTGTCACTGATCAGTGAACCGATTTTTACTGATCACTGTATCAGTGTCGCTGGCGACTTCCGATAGTGTTAGCGCCCCTCCCAGATAGCGCCAGATTGCCCGCTAATACACCAATAATCCCGTGTAACCCCTTGATTGCCCCCCCCCCCCCGAGTTGACCCCTTCACTGCCCTGTCACCAGTGTCATTGATCAGTGAACAGATTTTTACTGATCACTGTATCAGTGTCGCTGGCGACTTCCGATAGTGTTAGCGCCCCTCCCAGATAGCGCCAGTTTGCCCGCTAGTGCACCAGAAATCCCATTTAACCCCTTAATCTCCCCCCCCCACAGGTAACCCCTTCACTGCCCTGTCACCAGTGTCACTGATCAGTGAACCAATTTTTACTGATCACTGTATCAGTGTCGCTGGCGACTTCCGATAGTGTTAGCGCCCCTCCCAGATAGCGCCAGTTTGCCCGCCAGTACACCAGTAATCCCGTTTAACCCCTTGATCGCCCCCCCCCCCTCCAGTTAACCCCTTCAGTGCCCTGTCACCAGTGTCACTGATCAGTGAACCAATTTTTACTGATCACTGTATCAGTGTCGCTGGCGACTTCCGATAGTGTTAGTGCCCCTCCCAGATAGCGCCAGATTGCCCGCCAGTACACCAGTAATCCCGTTTAACCCCTTGATCGCCCCCCCCCCCAGTTAACCCCTTCACTGCCGTGTCACCAGTGTCACTGATCAGTGAACCAATTTTTACTGATCACTGTATCAGTGTCGCTGGCGACTTCCGATAGTGTTAGCGCCCCTCCCAGATAGCGCTAGTTTGCCCGCCAGTACACCAGTAATCACGTTTTACCCCTTGATCGCCCCTCCCCCCAAGTTAACCCCTTCACTGCCCTGTCACCAGTGTCACTGATCAGTGAACCAAATTTTTACTGATCACTGTATCAGCGTCGCTAGCGACTTCCGATAGTGTTAGCTCCCCTCCCAGATAGCGCCAGTTTGGCCGCCAATACACCAGTAATCCCGTTTAACCCCTTGATCACCCACCCCCCAGTTAACCCCTTCACTGCCCTGTCACCAGTGTCACTGATCAGTGAACCAAATTTTACTGATCACTGTATCAGTGTCGCTGGCGACTTCCGATAGTGTTAGCGCCCCTCCCAGATAGCGCCAGTTTGCCCGCTAGTGCACCAGAAATCCCATTTAACCCCTTGATCGCCCCCCCCCCCCCCCCCAGTTAACCCCTTCACTGCCCTGTCACCAGTGTCATTGATTACAGTGAACAGATTTTTACTGATCACTGTATTAGTGTCACTGGTAACTTCCGATTAGCGCCCCTCCTAGATAGCGCCAGTTTTGCCCGCTAATGCACGGGATTTTTTTTACCAAAAACATGTAGCAGAATACATTTTGGCTTAAATTTATGACTAACTTTGAGTTTACGATATATTTTTTATAGCTGAAAGTAGAAAAAATTGTTTTTTTTTCAAAATTTTCGAGATTTTTTTGATTATAGCGCAAAAAAAAAAAAGCGCACAGGTGATCAAATACCACCAAAAGAAAGCTCTATTTGTGTGAAAAAAAGGACGTAAATTTCGTTTGGGTGCAGCATTGCATGACCCGCGCAATTATCATTTGAATTAGTGCAGCGCTGTATAGCAAAAAAAGGCATAAATTACAGTATCTATACCATAGTTTGTAGACGCTATAACTTTCACACAAAGCAATCAATATACACTTATTGGGATTTTTTTTACCAAAAACATGTAGCAGAATACATTTTGGCTTAAATTTATGACTAAGTTTGAGTTTATGATATATTTTTTATAGCTGAAAGTAGAAAATATTGTTTTTTTTCAAAAGTTTCGTGGTTTTTTTTGTTTATAGCGCAAAAAATAAAAAGCGCACAGGTGATAAAATACCACCAAAAGAAAGCTCTATTTGTGTGAAAAAAAGGACGTAAATTTCGTTTGGGTACAGCATTGCATGACCGCGCAATTATCATTTGAATTAGTGCAGCGCTGTATAGCAAAAAAAGTTCTGGTCATTAAGGGGGGTAAATACTCTGGGGCTCAAGTGGTTAAGATAATTTCTGATAGATTTCAACAGAAGGGATACCCCTTGACTTTTTAAATCAGGTGGAAAGGGATGTCCTAGAGATACCCAGAGAACAAGGTCTGTTGGATAAACAAAAGGTAGATACCAATCAACATCAGTGGAGTTTTTTATCTGACTTCCATTGTCAGTATAAGGATGTAGAACATATTTTTAAGAAGCATTGGCATATTTTGTTAATGGATAAAACATTGGGAAAAATTTTGCCAAAAAAACCTAAATTTATTTATAGGAGAGCCCCAAATTTTGGGGAAAAAATTGTTTGGAAAATAATAGATGCCCCTAGTATTACATCTATGTTCCCTCATAATAAGGGGTTCAAAACATGTGGTACCGTATTTTTCGCCGTATAAGACGCACTTTTTCTTCCCCAAAACTGGGGGGGAAATGTCAGTGCGTCTTATGGGGCGAATATGGAGAGGCCGGTCCGGTATTTCCACCGCGGCCGTGTCAGAATACCGGGCCGGCCGCTCAGCTCTGCAGCGGGACCTTACCTGTTCCTCTATCCAGCGGCGTGCTGTCTTCCCGGCTTCTATAGTGTGGGCACTGGGCATGACAGCCGGGTGCCAAGTGCGCATGCGCAAGAAGCGGTGCTTTTTGTGAATGGTAAGGCGGTACCTGGGACACATGACAGATCCCAGAAGCCGCCGGACCAATCACAAAGCGCAAGTGCTTCTCGCTCATGCGCACTGGGCACCCGGCTGTCATGCCGAGCGCCATTACAGAAGCTGGGAAGACAGCGTGCGGATGGATCGAGGAACAGGTAAGATCAAACAAAAACTCTGCCGAAGTAAGAGCGGGTACCTGTCAAATTCAGGTACCCGCTCCCCACCTCCCCAAAGGTCAGCAGTCATCTGTACTGTCCGCAGTCTCTGGTCATCCCTGTGCTGTCCGCAGTCTCTGGTCATCCCTGTGCTGTCCGCAGTCTCTGGTCACCCCTGTGCTGTCCGCAGTCTCTGGTCATCCCTGTGCTGTCCGCAGTCTCTGGTCATCCCTGTGCTGTCCGCAGTCTCTGGTCATCCCTGTGCTGTCCGCAGTCTCTGGTCATCTCCTGTACTGTGTCTGCAGTCCATTAGTTCAGAATTTTTTTTTCCTGTTTTCTGCCTCTAAAACCTAGGTGCGTCTTATGGTCAGGTGCGTCTTATACGGCGAAAAATACGGTAAATGTCGGGCGTGCCGTACTGTTAAAAATAATAAAACGATGACAACTACTTTCACTGTTGCAAATGTGGAGCATAAATTTATTATATCTGAATTTATTACTTGCGATACCACCCATGTAGTATATTTATTACAATGTCCATGTAATTTAAGTTATTTTGGGAGAACTAAAAGACCATTTAAAACACGCATAGCGGAACATATGAAAAATATTAAAATAGGATTCAAAGATCACAGTGTTTCAGAACATCTTTCTAAATTTCATCATGAGAATCTTTCCCTATTAAAATTCTGGGGAATCGATTAGGTACCCCCCAAAATGGCAAGGGTCAAATAGAGTTAGAGATTTGTCTAGACGTGAAACCAAATTGATCTATCCTCTTAAATCATTAACACCACATGGTTTAAACGTTGAATTAGATTTAAACTGCTTCATTAGTGATTTTTGAAGTTATGGTATGCTATATACCTTTTAATACGAAATATTGTACTGTGTTATTTTAGTTTATTTTTTATTTTAAATTCAATATTTTTAAATTTTATTTTATATATAAAAAATTTTATGATTAAAGTTTAGGATTATAATATATGGTTGTGTACAGGGGCGGACTGACAACTCATGGGGCCCCTGGGCAATAGGGGATCATGGGGCCCCTGTGTCCTTGCCCAAACTCAAATGAAAAAGGTACCAGGGGCATCTCATGGGGCCCCCTACTGGCCCCGGGCCCTCGGGTAGTGCCCGAGTTTCCAAATGGTCAGTTCGCCCTTGGTTGTGTAATACATTTGTAAAAGCCCAAAGAAGTATGTTATTATGGCATACTTATATTTTGTGAATGATATATTTATTGTGTTTTTAATAAACAGATTAACTGCCTTTAAACTGATTAATATTTCTGCCAGGCTGTAAGCATGGTAAGAAGGTATTACCAACTATGTTTGTATACTTAGGGATATACTATTATGACATCGTTATGTAGATTATACTGTTTACATTACCATATTTGTGGTGTATAAATCGGTAAATACATCTGTGTATGTATAGGTTCTATATGCCCTTAAATATGGCAGCAATGGCGATTGACATCCGCCAGTTTATGGGCGGAATTTCCGCTGTAATGTAGTCAACCAATTAGCAACTCTGTTTGATAAGCATGCTATATAAGCGTGGAGCTGTTGTTACTTAGCCACTCCCTATGAATAAGTTCGGCTGTGAAAAAACAAGTCAGGGATTGGTTGAACAAAAACCAGAAGTGACGATCTTTGGAACCGGAAATGACACGCATTGTTTGAGAGCAAGGATCGGTGAGGGCGTTGTGTGGTCTTCCCTCTCTGACATTACCTTCACTGCATTTAAAGAGATATATCTTTGGGCTTGTCTTGAATTTTGTTCTTGTGAGTTTCTTTGAGCAGAGATTAAAAGGTTTTAAAGCATACTACACTATGTTGGGTCTCTATTTCCTCTCTTTTGCTTGATATGGAGAATCATCTCCAAGAATTGTAGGTTTGGAGTGTTGGAGCCATTCTGGGGGAATTTATTGTGGAAAGTCTGATATTGAGGCTATTGATTGGAAGTGCTGGAATCACTCTGAAAATAGTCAATGCACATGAGCAAATATCCTGATCTGAAGAAATATGTTTAAACAAAAGCGCATTTTGCCAACCATGAGAGTGGGAGACAAATATAGCTGGTGAGTGCACACCTAAAGAGGAGCACAGCACAAGTTTTGGAGATTTTTTACAGTCACGTGGTGATTTTATTTAATTCAATTCACTCGGTGGATTCAATCAGGACTTTTTTTGATGGACTTTTTGTTTATTTATTTTATATAATGTTTTATTATACAATTCATTTTCATGATTTATAGAGCGCTGCATATATTTTGGGATTTTCAAAATATTATTTTGGTCACAATTGGAATGGTCTTGTTTGTAATTTTCTGTTGTTTGAGTTTTTTGGATGTGTGGTACTTTTTTGAGAGTCAGTTCTATATACTGTATATATATATATATATATATATATATATATATATATATATATATATAGCCTTGTAAGTCCATAAATAACGCACGTGTTTCGTTTGGCTGACGGGTAAAAAAGCATCTCTTCTGCCTGGGGGAGTTTGCGCGTTGCTAAGTTGAACATTTTCACTGTTTCTTGTTCTGACTTTCCACTTTTGATGCCTTTTCCAGCTCCTCCCTTGCATCCTCTTCTCTGATATCTGTGTGCTGGTGCTTTGTTCTTGGAGGTGTAAAAAATTGCATTATCTTCTGGGGTATGACAAGTATGACTTCCCCCCACTGCTCAATGTCCCAGCGATATCTCCTTCTCTCCCCCTCCCCCACCAGCATCACTCACACTCCTGAAGCTACTCACCCCTTTCCCTTATTCTGCATGGAATAGTCCATACCATTGTCCAACACTTGATCAGTCCTCTCATCACCGGCCCACTTCCTCTGCACCCTTCTACATATCCAGTCCTGTCATCTACCTCTGCCACTACAACCAGCCAGCTTCATACATCTTCCTCCTGCCAGCTGTCACCTCTTGCTGATACCTCCATGCTCACTGCATCCTCCTCCCGCCAGCTGTCACCTCTGCCCGATGCCTCCTCGCTCACTGCATTTTTCTCACACCAGCTGTCGCCACTCTTTGCATCCTCCTCCTTCCAGCTGTCATTTTTGCCCAATGCCTTCCTGCTCAGCTGCATCTTCCTCCTGCCAGCTGTCACCTTTGCCTGATGCCTCCCTATACTGTCACCCACCACTGCAAATGAAACCGGCTGACTATGCATTCCTTCACTCATTCCACAGCCACCAATACCTCTAGCCCAGCATCATTCCCAATCTTCCAATCTAGAGATTTTCCAACAACCTTTCCTTTCTCTCCCCCCCCCCACCCAGCGATCATAGGATCGCAGCACCTTCCATCCCAACCACCTCTTCACCCCCACTCCCCAACTCCTATCCCACCCCACCTTCAGAACTTTGTGCAAGAGTCACACCTGTTTGGGATTATTCCACAGCACCAGGTCAGTCACAAACCAATATTACAATAAGCTAGGGTATATAAATATATATGTCATTTTTTGATTCCTCATTAACATTAAATTACATATATATATATATATATATATATATATATATATATATATACATATATATATATACAGTATATTCCGAAAACAAATTGTTTCTTTACTTGAAGTGTATCTTCATACAAAAATTAGCAAGACTGCGCAGTTTCAAGTCAGTTGCAAGCATAACACAGCTCTTCATCAAGCTACAATTGTAGTGCTAGACATCATAAGATCACTCTATATACCTAAACACAGGGTGTTTTTGCACAGGTGCATCTCATCCACACCAATATAGCAATACTCCAATATAGCAGTACTATAGAATTACTCTTATTAGGAAATACCTTTATATAACAAAATAAAAATAATTTTTCATATGTTACAACATATTATAATCAACATACTGCGATTCCAAACTATATAAAAACAAAAACTGAAGAATTAAATAACCATCACTATAATAAATCCAAACAAACTGATACAAGTAATCCATCATTTCACCCCAGCCATAACAATTTTCTTTCAGAGCTATAAAAAATTTAAATGGAGACAATCAAAGTAAATATAATTATACTACATTACAAAATTAAATACAAAGCATAATCCCTAGTCAAACCAAAAGGGTGCAGAGAATTGAGCTGATTAATCCATACCTCCCTTTGTTTTAATGTAAGAATTCTGTCTCCACCTTTCCTATTTTTTTTTATATCATAAATTTTAAATCAGTGTCTTCATGATCATATTCCATAAAATATTTGGGGAACTGGCAACCCTGGGCTGTTTAGCATGAACAAAGAGTAATGCTGCGATATGCAATCCTTGATTTTTTTTTTCCCCAACATAAAACTAAATTACATGGACACAATAGTGCATACACAACACTTTTTTTTTTCTAAAATCCGAATGTACTAATACATCTTATTGTTTCATTCCTGCGGTAAGCTTTTAAAGGTACCTGTTGAAAATAATCAACATCAGGATCTGACCATTGTAATAAGAGGCACTGTTTCCTTATCATTTTAAAACTATCCTCACTATGACTATGGTACTGCATAAAGAAAGGTAGGCATTTATTTTGCTGTCTCTTATTTCTGATGCAGGTTCCTTTTTCATACTGGGGATTCAACTTCTCAGGTTCCTGTTGTATAAGATGTTATGAGTAAGTTCTATTTTCAAATTTCTGGCACATCACCCAATCTTTTACTACATCTCTCTTGATTACTCACAATACGCTTGTCTCTGCATAATTGGCTACGTACAATTGACCTGAAAACATTGGGGGGTGAAAACTATCAAATAATAGGAGTTGATTTCTATCCTTTGGTTTAACATATCGATCCGATTCTATCTTTCTATTCCCAATGTAAACCATAGTGTCTAGAAAAGACACTGCTTTACCCCCAGTGCACATGGTGAACTTTATATCACCACTGAAAGAATGTAATATTCCATTAAATGCCTGAAGGATCCCAATGTTGCTCTGCCACACCACAAACACATCATCAATATAGCGCCACCAACTGGGACAATGTTTTTTAAATAAATCATCCATGTACATATAACTCTGTTTAAAATCATGCACATGCATACGACGGGGCGACATTGGAATCCATTGCAACTCCCCTGGTAATAGGTATCCCGAAAAAGAAAAAAGTTGTTATTCAGAATGATATTAATTCATTTTTTCAAGTTCCTGCTTTATGTGCTATAGAAGTGTAAAATCTTTAAACATCCCAGGTTACCAGGATTTCATCCTCTTGGAATTCCAATATCAATTTTAACCTTTGCAAAAAATCATTAGTATATTTGATGTATGATGCTGTATCACAT